AGGGAAGAGGACTTGTAATATGAAACACCTATTGTTTTGATACTCACAACAAGTACACATTACATATACACAGTATAGGGCATACACACAATACACGGCATAAAAAGGTAGTTACCCAAACAAGGCTACATAGTGCTTAAAATAACATCTAAATATTTGAATGATCACTAAAACAGTGTTCTAACACCACAACTGTGCTACTTTTAAATCACTTAAGAGCACTCTTTTGACATCACAATCAAAAAACATCCTAGTAAAAAATTACAACTAACAACAGATAAAAAATAAAAATTTCTTTGATGTCTAATAGAAAAGGAATATACATGTCAGAGTTCTAAGAAGACAAAAAACAGATCCCAACATATTGATGCACCACAAAAAAACTTTCAACTACAAAAAAATTGTTAATGCCTTGCACAACCTTGAATAAATCAATGTAAACAACCGATGAGGTTCTTCACCACTGAAGTTTTTACAAGAATTTTGTATAGGGAGTTTGTATAACATTGATGACACTGAAACATTTAATTTTGTGGGGACTCCTGAAACTTCTTTTCAACATTACCAAAAAAATAACACTTACGGCTGATTAGCTCAAGCTATAAGATAGACAATAATATGAAATTATGAATACCCCATTCTGTATCCATGTACCATGTAGGTTCACCAGTATCCAATTTAGAAATTCTGATGTATTTGCTCATATTAATGTGTGGCTTACATAACCAGAACAGCCCCTAGAGTAAGTTAATGGGCTTATTTAAGTCTCAAACTCAAAACACCAGTATCATTCATAAGCCCTGCCAGTAAAGAACAAAACCAAGTTTTTCCTACAGCTGCTCTCAGAGAAGCTTATAATTATCATGATGATGTTCCTTAACATGCATTAGAATGCTGCCAACAAAATGTTCACCAATGGGCATGGTTTCTTTTTTCTTGAAAATACTCGAGAGAAAGCAGCTTTTGTGACAATACAAATGCCAAACAGAAAACATTAAAGAAAGCAGCTTTTGTGACAATACAAATGCCAAACAGAAAACATTAAAGAAACAAATTATTAATTTACAGAACATACAAAAAATACAAAACAAAAAATAAGGCAACTATAACTGTGTGGATGTCAGTAGGAGATATTGAACTCATTTATAACTCTTACACTCAAGGTTCGTTGTACCATAGCGTACCGGTATGAGCGGTACGTACCAGTCCAACAAGGGCCCGGTATGGGTAGTATATCAATATGTCCCAATGTACCATGTTTCGGTACATTCGATACAGCTCGATACGTACAATACCAACTAGTCAGTATACGGATACGGACCGATAAGATCTCTTTAACCATATTGAAATAGTTCATAACATAATCAAGATCAAGGTATGCAATTTCGAATAATACTGTCCGTGTATATATATATATATATATATATATAAAGGCGACGTTGCTTCGACGACGTCAACGAATTATTTATATATATATATATATATATATATATATATATATATATATATATATATATATATATATATATATATA